AGTTAATATATCTGCTCATTGATCGTTTGTCTGTATGTATTTCGCATTTATGTACTCTAACTCAATGTAGCATTTAATAAAATCTTTCTTATGATCTAAATGCTTTGTTCGTTCTGAATATTTGAGTTCGTCTAATGTAACCGTTTGTATAACAGTATTGTTATTGTAATAGATATTAATTAGTGTATCAGAGACCTGCAGAATCTCTTCAGCTAAATGAGTAAGTGTGATTGCTTCCTGTGTTCCTCTTGTAAGAGCTATTAATTCAGCTTCATACATCAAATTTGCCACCAGTGTTTGTCTTTTACTTGACTACAAAACTAATGAATTGCTCAAGTAAAATGTGTATCCTGATATTGCACAATGCCCTTCTTGTATCATGCTGTCTGCATCTGTATAGCTGTTCAATATTGATTGATTTGTACTACTGAGTTGGAGCCAGACATTGTTCATAGTTTTTAAGTACATGTAACAATGTTTAAGTGCTAGATAATGCTCCATACCAGGGTCATTGAGGTATTTTGCTAACTGATTTGTTGCAAATGCTATATCTGGCCACATACAGTCTGTAATGTATCTAAGTGTGCTAACCATGTTCATGTATAGTATATTAGACATTTGTTTTCTATTGTTATCAGTTTGCAATACTGTTTTTAATTGTGTACTAGGCTGCATGAGTGTTTGTACACTTTGTTCGTTTGTAAGTTTGTAACGTTCTATTATACTATTAATATAATGTGTCTGACGCATCCTAATGAATCTATGCTCTCTGTTGTGTTGAATCTCTATACCAAGTAGCTAGTGTAATTTGCTACTGTCTGTATATTGTAAATGATGTGCAATAGATTGTTTTATCATTACAATAGTATTATTATTCATTACTGTGATAGTAATATCATTGACATGTACAAATAATATGGCTACAGTTATTTCTTTCTTCTTTGTGAAGAATACAGTATTATCATGTTTGGATTTTGTTAATCTACATTTAAGTAGTATATTAGATAGTGTTTTATACTATCTTCTGCCAGCTTGTTTTAATCTGTATAGTGCTTTTCATAATTGTAATATTTGTCCATTCTGTAATCTGTCTATTAAGTTACCTGGAGGAGGTTTAACATATATTTCTTTGTCTTCTGTCAATTGTCCATACAGATATGCCAATTTTATATCTATCTAATGTATTTCATAATTATTAGATGCTACCCATGCTAATATTAATTACACTGTAGATAGTCTAGCAGTAGGAGCAAATAAATCGTCTGTATGATAGTCAAGGCTGTCAATCTGATAGTTTCCTTGAACTACTAATTGTGCTTTATATTTTTCTATACTATTATCAGCATATTGCTTTATTTTATAGACAAATCATGTTCTGATGATGTTAATATTATTGTGTGGATTTGTGATTTCCCATGTATTATGATTTTCTAATTGTTTTATTTTGTCTTTCATAGCTGCAATCTATGAATCACAATCTAGACATTAGATTGCTTTATAAAATGAAGTCAGATCCAATTGTATTTCACTTATTTTAGTATTAAATTCTGTTAAATGAATGGCAATATTATCTTCATCCTTTTTGCTAAGTGCATACATGTGTTTCGTTATGTGTTTATTCTCCATACATTGTTCAAGCTTGATAGCACATTCTGTTGGTTTCTGTTTCCATTCCAATCGATGTAATTTAGGTTCTACTTCTTTTTCAGTTAATTTAACTTTGTTGTCCATTAAGTCTGTTGGTTCTGCTACTTTTCCTTTTTTGTTAGGATCAGTGTTGTCTGTATCATTGTTGTCTGTTCTTGTTATTCTATCATCTGTTTTGTTATTTTTAATTATTAAACACTCGTTCGTATCATTGTTTGTATTGTCTATTTTCTCCCCTTCAATTTGAGGAGGTTTACCTTTGAGAAATTGAATATTTTGTTCAATGGTGATTTTATTATTGTGCCAAGTTTTATAGCCTTTACTTTCATTGTCTAATCCTATCTAACAAGTAATGATACCTTACTGTTATATTTTTGTAGGATTTTTGTTGCAAATGATAATATATTGACCAAATTCATATATATTATCAATTGTTCTGTGTGTTCTGTAACGTTTGTAATGTAGGGTATTATAATTTAAAGTAGCACACAGTGTTCTATTATGAATATAGGTAATATGAATTACTGCTTTGGCCCATAATGTAAACAGTAATTCAGTAGATGTTAGAGATGCTCTTACACCTCTAAATATAGTTTTATGTGTTTGTTCTGCTATTCTGTTCTGTTGTAGAGTATGATGTACTGTTAATCTTTGTTTTGTTCCTTGTG